CCCCCCCCCCCCCCCCCCGGCAGAGAAGCCACGAGCTCAGAGAACAAACTTGGGCTACAGCTGAGATCTAAGAGGGAGCCAGAAGTGACTCAAGTGGCAGGAAAATATTGCAAAATGCTGCTGTCTCCCCCACCTGAGACAACAGTGTGGGCCCCTCAAGCCCCCACCTCTCCTATCAAGCCATACCATGCATGCTCGCATGGGACACATCAAGTTCCCGGGAAAGGGGGAGACAGCCGTACCCCAGAATTCCCAACCAAGACTGGTAGAGCCAATGACAGCCGTCTCCAACATTTAAATGCCCAGCATCTCTCCGATGCGGTTTGAGACTGACAGGAAGGGGGAAAGACCCAAATTGGCTGCAGGAGCAAATCAACACTGGGAGGCAGGAGAGTAAAAAATGCCAGGGACTTGGAGACCAAAAGCACCCTGAAGCGTTGTGAGGGCGCCCAACTCAGAATCAGCCCCGTGCCGACATGTCCTTTGGTCAGCTCTGTCACAGCATCCCAGAGCCTTTCCCAAGGACAGGGGGTTTTAAAGTTCAAATGAATCAGCCTGACTGCAAAGCAGTTCACGTGGGACTATTGCTTGGGCTACTATTTAATTCAACAGGCTTCCTCTTCGTAACTCTGGAAGCTGTGTCACCCTCCGGGAAAATGGGGAGCAGCAGAGAACTTTCTCACTTTGGGCAACTTTTATAACCTCCAACGAGATGCCAACGTGACCTGGGAGAGAACCGTTCCTCTAAGGCACCAGTGACAAGGCACAGCTGGGGGTGCCCAGCAGCGTCACCTGCTCCTGGGCCCAGACGTCGGAGCTCTGGCCCTTGCCCCCACGTGAAGAGGTTCTTACATCTGCCAGCTCTCACCTGGAAATTTCTTCTTGAGGGCATCTTTAGAACTGGCATAGATCATCTTACTCTTCAAAGGGGCACTCTCGGGCGCCCTGCAGGGAGACACAGAAGCACTCACACTTAGGTATGTTACTAGCCTCCTTCTCGCCCCCCGCCATTTGTCAAACAAACTGCCATTCTTGCAAGGACGATGTGGGGGAAGCAGCGAGTTTTCAAAAACCGTGATTATGGAAGCTGCCATTCGTAAGTAAATAAATTAAACAGGGGTCTCCTCCCAAAAGGAGCAACCCCCTCCCGGGGACCCTGCATTACATTTTTTCCCCTGAGCCTCGCTGCTATTGAACTACAACTCCCAGCAACATACACAGCATGGCCGCCACCAAGTGATCTTGGGAGGTGTAACATCGAGGGCCCAGCAGCTTCCCCACATTCGCACTAGGCCTCTGGCCCTGCTGTCAAGATATGGGGGGAGCTGCAGTCTTGCTGGCGGACAGCAGGAAGTGGTTTAGACTGCGCTCAGCGCACCCTCGTACACAGAGATTCCAACTGCGCTGGCCAAGAGGCTGCAACCAAGGGCACATTTCCTCCCCACACCGGACAGCCCCTTGTCTCCAGTTCTTCAATTATACAAATCATGCAAGTTAATTATTGTTTTCTCGCACCACTCTGAAACTGGGAAGAGGCAGCTGAAGTCTATCCCCCAGTCATGGATGTTGGAAGGGATGATCATGCAGGATTAGGAACTCATCTTCCCACCGTGCTTTAATTTCACCAGCGGGGAGGACAGCTCATCCTCAAGTGCTCTTAGTACCAGCACGTGAGGTGCCAGGCACTGTGGCATCCCACCTCGGCCCCAGGTGGAGGCAAACCACATCTTTAATGGTGCAGAGGCAAGCAGTTTTGCTTCCAAGGTCAACCACGGAAGGACAAAACGCTAAAGGCAACCGATTCCAAATTCAGATAGAGGCCGATAAGTCCCCACCTCCAAGCAAGATTGCGCTCAGGCCAACTAATACCTCTGAAGGCAGATTTGATTTAATTTCAATCAGGAGAGCTGCAGGAATTGGGAGGAAAGCAGCTTCTCTCCTCAGATTATTCGGCCTTTAGCCACTAAGGAAAAAGGTTGGGGGGGGGACTGGCCAGAACTGAAGCAGCCAAGAGAGGAGGAAGGGGGCCTCACCAGAAGAGGAAGACTAGGTCTTCCTTTTTGCTCTCCTTGGTTTCATAGGTAGCGTCGTAGAGGGCATAACGGCAGTCGCTTGGGGGCAACATTGTGACAAAGTGCAGGTAGGGGTCGTCAACGGTGTCTCCCAGGTCGCCCACCAGGATCTCCTTCCCTGCCTCCAGGATGATCTTCTTCTTGTCCTCGCTCAGGCAGAAGATCACAGCCTTCTTGCGCTTCTTCTGTTCCTCTTGGGGGGCGTGTTTGCGCACCTTCATGTCATTGAAGACCTGGATGACTTTGTCACAGACAGTGACCCCAGAGGCCTGTCCAGGGGACCAAGGGAAAAAACACTCAGCACTGGCCCCATTGGGGTCTCCAGAAAGAGAAAGCATGAGGAATCAAGGACAAGGACAATGGGTGCCCACTCCCCAAGCTACTCAGTACACGGTTACAAAGCAGTGGGAGATTCAGGCACACTCTAAGCTTATACAACATGCTACGCCATGGTTTGTTAAACCAAGTTTACTGAACAATCCACTAATCACTAGGTTCACACAATATGCTAAAGCAAAAAGCACAGCTTGCAAACCAGTGGCTAGGATGCTCTATGTTCTATCCTAGTTCACACAACACACCAAGACAAGGGCTGGATTCCCACAAAAGAACGCACCGCCCAACTCAACCTCCTTTTCATCGAGTCACCGTTGTCACAGCGACTAGCATTCCTTGCTGTGAAAAGGGAATTGACCAACTGATGCAGACAAAAGTCTATCTGTAGGATATTTTAGGACAGAGGCTGACTTTGCACAACGTGCTAGGCTAGGCAAAAACGGGGTTGGATTATTTGTTGTTCAGGGTAGGAATCCAGCCAATCTATACTGTCTCAGCCAAGCCAGAATATGGTTGGTGCATTTAGGCATTGCATGTTACAGCACCTCCCCACCCCAACAGCCAGGAGGCATATTTGGGATTGCGGAGGCTAGCTAAGTTTGGGAAGCCTGCTCAAAAAGCTGGAGGACACAGGATGTAAGATGAAATGGATACCTTCCTCCAGCCTGCTCAATCAAAAATCTCAACCTCTTCATTAAAAGCAGCCCTTGTAAACATTTCACCAGGACGCAAGAGTTGAGCAGGGCAGGCCGCACACGCTGGCCGAAGAGGAAGCTCCCACTTGACCCACACACCATCAGGAGAGGAAAGGAAGAGATCCGAATGCGAACTCAGCTCCTGCCGACTGGGGAACAGAAGGCAAAAGAGCTGGGCGTGGCACCAGCTGAGAAAAAGGAGATGAACCAATGAGGGCCTTTAGCGATCTGGTCTTCCAGATTCCCCACACGGCCCCGGGAGGAAGCAGGAGGGGAGACAGGCTGGAGCCCAATCCTAGCTCACTGGGGAAGGAAAAAAACAGGCCGAAGGAGCAGGTGGCCTGAAGCTGCCAGCTCGGCAGATGGTGCTTCAGTTGCAGAAAAGGAAGTTGAGCCCTGCCGCAGACAGGGAGAGGGGGAGGTTGGCAAGTGGCTGCAAACAGAAATTCTGGGATGGAGGCAAAGGCATCACCATCAGTACCAGAATTCGGGACATTCTGGATCCCACTGTTAAGAAGGGGGAAGCCCAGCTCTTTCACACACCGAGAAGCTGGGGGGGGGGAATTGGAAAAAAGAGAGGCTCGGGTTCCAATAGCAGCACTGAGACCTGAACAAAAAGGGCGGGGGGAAGCAAACTGGAAGCCCAGAAACGCCACCAGCGGAGACCGGAAGGACTCTTTTGGCAGGCCCATGCACAGGAGGAAGAGAGAGGGGTGCAGGTGCAGAATCAGATGTGGGGGAGAACAGAACGAGGGCTGCCAGCACAGAACTTAGGGGGCTTCCTGAGAACACAGTATGGCTATACAGTAATTCCTTGCACACATGTCACACTTACTCTCCTAAACACACACAAAGAAGGATCTTCTGTGCTTATTTTCTCTTCCCCATCTATATCCTTCTAGCTATGGAAAGGGGAGAGGAAAATAAGGTGTAAGGTGGGGAGGGAGAAGTAATCGAAGTTAGAACCCCTGCATCGATCACGGGAAAGGTACAGAGACTACATTCCCCATTATTCCATGCTCCATAGCCAGCTGAGAACTGGGGAGGGAATTGCACTCCTCCAGGCGCATCGTCTTCTCCAGCCAATACAGTCAAGCACTACGCTCCCCACCAGTGACAGTTCCCATCATCCCCTTCCACAGCACAGCAGCTAGCCACGCGGGCTAGAAAGGAGCGCAGTAACTCTCCTATTGTACTGGCCTAAGTTCCTCTCCTGCCCCCACTGCACAGCCCTTAGCGCAGGCGCGCAGAGACGCACAGGCCATCCTTCTCGGCCATGTGTGGCCGGGGATAATGAGGCTGTTGTCTTCGAGCCATCTTGGGAAGGCGAATCCCAGGGCTCCAGATATAGAGCGACCACGGCAGCTGGGTGGATAGGGTCAATACACCAAGAAGCCACCAGACCTCACTACTTGCAAAGGCAAACAGACCAGGAGGCACCCAGATGGGGGGGGGGGGGGGGAAACACCACGAGGTGCCCCCCCGCCGCCCCCGTCCTTCTGCACCCATTTCCTTGCCCTCATCTTTCCCCTCCCCCATTGCGGAAGGTGACCCTCCTCGAGGGGAAGGGGCTCCCCTTCCCCCCCCCCCCCCCC